ATTTGATTAAGTCTCATGTTTTTAATCTTGAAGTGGCTGCAAGATACCACTGCTATGGACTCAGGAATATTAATGTACTAAGTAACATGTACTAAGTGTACTAAGTGTACTAAGTAACATGTACTAAGTGTACTAAGTAACATGTACTAAGTAACATGTACTAAGTCCTTAAATGCTTGGTTGTCAGTTGATGGCATTTTGCTCGAAAATATGGTGGTTTTGTCATCCTCGATACAAGCTAAACATACCCATTGTATATGGTATGATCGAGTTATCAAAGGTCATGCAGTATTAGCTTTAAAAATAGGATCTGTGGGCAACAGTCTCGCCTGTTACGCTTGATATATTGATAAGAAAGGGCTGAAATCTATAGGCTTGTTGCCGTGTTTACCCCTAAAATGCGTATTGTCTGCTGAATACAGTAGCTTGCATATAAATAGTGCCTTTTTTGAAGTCATGTTGCTCCAAATATTTCACAGACAAGGGGAGTTGGGAGCTATTGAAAGATTGGTACTTATGATATTATAGCAGCTTTGTCTATTCTTTAATAAATGATGTGATCAGAATAACAATAGTCATAGGAATGTTTCAAGGTAAAACAGAGGAAGAACATCTCTTCACGGATATATAGTAAAGGATGTAATGTGTTTATATTTTGTGGGCTCACATGGCTTACGTTCAAATTTCACCACTTGTGACGGTGGAGGTTACCACAATCTGGCCTGCATGCATGCAGCTGAGCAAATTATCTACCGATGGCAAATAACCAAGGATAACAAGCATCCAGAGTGCCAAGCATTGGCAACCATTTTGTGGTAACTCTCCCCAGGCCAGCCGCCCTGCACTAGCAGCGAGAGCAAGCGTGCATGTACATTGGCAGCTGTCACTTCATGGATGCCTGCTTGCCTGCTGCACGGGTGTGCTAGGCTCATCCAGCATGACTAACACCTAGTTTCCCGCAACCATTGATTGCTAGCTTGTCACTCTAGGAAAACTACACGAATTACTCATCAGGTGGAGCTACCTGCTTTTTGGTTCAATAACCTGCTCACAGATAAACCTGTGTTCAAGAAGTCAAACTGGTTAACTTGCATTGCTATAGTTACCAGCTGGGATATTTATGACGTGCTCCTATGTGGAATCGGCAGGGTTGCATTGACTAATACTGCGTCCACACATTTAGATACACGTGAACAGTGATGACATAGCAAAATCCTACAACTCCACTGCCTTCAGTGTCCCCTTAAATAGCAAAAAAGGCGATCACCTAATAAAACGTATTGTACTTGTAGTGTTTGATTTAATACATAAAATTAGTGGCAGAAAGTATTGATGTAATGGAATAAAGTGTTTTAGAGTATACTAATGTAATAACAGCACGAACACATGCATAGATCTACACATGTGTCCATGATAAGAAAGAATTATAAAGTATGTATGTTTATGATATTATAATTATTGTTGATGTGCACATAATGCATGTTTATTTGGTTACAGACTGACTTGCCAAGTACTCAACGTTTACCAATCTTCATTGGATGCATCAGGAATAAACGGACATGAAAATGATCATATGAACACGTCTGGCAGGTAGGTTCTGATGGATTACAATTCACAAAGTAAATCTTGTGTCTTTAGTGCCATTATAATATTGAACTGATGGTGGAAAGCGAATTTTTGTCATGATAAGCATTACTTACCTGTAACCTGTTCTGTTCACTGTATAATTGTTATGTAATTGTGATTTTCAATTATAATATGTGAAATCATGATTGTGCAATTTTAAAACTTAAAATAAATGATGTACACATTTATGTTGTAGCTCTGAAGAAGGTGCCAAAAGCTTTGGAGCTAGCCCTGAATCATATACATACTGTGTACAGGAGATCGGCACTGATGACAACCCCTTTACCATTGATGCGTTGAATATCTCGTAAGTGTTTTTTGTTGTCTATCTTGTTGAATCTTCGGTCTGCTCATGAGGTCGTATTGTAAAGGGCCATAGGCATTGTTAGCATTTTGACTCGGTGACTGTTTGGTATAATTTCACGCTATTACATGTTACACTTATGTCTGTATTTGATGAATTTGCAAATATTTACTTTAAAAGTAATTATGGTCTTGCAGACGAAAGAAAGGGGTGTTAACAAGAGACAAGAACAAACTTTACCTCAAACTGCACTGTAGACCAGACAACGGTCTATGGAAAGTTAAGGTATTCTTGCAAAACACGTGTAGTTTGTATTCAATTGCTTGTTTGCATATATTTGTGTATAGTTGCCTGAATTCATATCATCTTGTCATTGCTACCAAATATAGTGTTCATGGCTGTCATTTTGGCATTTCTTTATGTGAACATAGATGGCTATAGTTTAGTGATTTATTTTTCACGATTTGGTGACAAAATAGATTGTATCTTTGCAGTTGCCAAATGCTTATCTTTGAAATGCATGTGCTATTGCTGTTTTCCAGCCAAAATTCGTTGAGAAGTTCAGATTAGCAGAGATGACATTTGCATCAGTTTTCTGTGGAGCACCGCCAAAATTTAGCCTTTCGCCAGCAAAGAGGGTAGTGGGTCAACACCAGTCTAATGGTAAGAAGGGCGAGCGATAGTGCATGGCTGGGGTTGTTTTGGAACATGGGTTGTTGCATTGAATTACAGGAATTCTTGTGACTGTAACAGATGAGATAATATAGAGACAGTAGTAAGAGATAAGATTAATTACTTCTTACCATCTAGTCAGATCAGCCACACCTGTCATATATATATATATACACACTCCTGTAGCTTTTGTAGTGTGTAACTTTGATTTTTTTCCAGCTGTGCCAGGAGTCTCTTCAAATCGAAGCAAGGCTATGGATGCTAAAAGGAGAGAAGAGCAGAGGCTTGAAATTGAGCAGATAGGTAAGCGTAAGACTTTAAACTGATAATATTCAACACAAGACTAGATAGGAATGAAAAGTCTTCCAAGTTTAATGTCGAAAACAAAAGCCATGTTAAGATCGTGAGGTAGATGTATTTGTATTTTCTGTACAATAGCAGATGGTCAAGTTTTGTGAATATACTAATAACTGAAGCTATATTTGCACAGAAGCTGGCTTGCTGATATGTGATCATAGTTGCATCTATCAGGTTATATTTACCAACTGAATGGATTTTGCAGCATGCAGTCAAACAGCAATATATCTGTACCATATATGTATTTTACTGTAGTTATTGTTATAGTGTATGTGCCCGTGTAGTTACATTAGTTCTCTTAGTCAAGAGAATGGCTATGGAAATAGAGACCATTAATTTGTTTCGTTTCGATATAATCTGTGTGAGACCCTGTTGTTTTGAAACACAGGGAACTAACAGGGAGAATGTTCACCAAATTTAACAATATTGGTTTATTGTGAAAACAGATTTCCTTGATTTGATCTGCAGCTAGAAAACAAGATCAGGAACAGCTAGAGAAAGAGCGAATACAAATGATAAGGGATGCTATGAAGCTGAAACAAAAACTGGCAGAGGAGAAGGAATTCCAGAGAGAGAAGAGAAGGCAGGAGATGGAGTTAGATAGGCAGAAGAAAAAAGAGGTAACTGGCAGCAATCAAATTGACAATTTTTATTATATTTGAATAACGGAGTTATGAATTATCCACATAGCAAACATGCGGACTACAGAACTGCATAGGCTTTTACATGAAGTAATGATGAAGTAAAAAGGAAGTAAGAACCTAATTGGCATCGAAAAATGTTTATGGTAGGAGAGAGATAATCAACGAGAGCAAAAACGTTTGAAGGCGGAGTACATGAAGGAGTGGAGCAAACCCAGAGATGATCTCTGTTGCAATGACCTTAAGGTGAGTAGATTTAACACACAAGTCGCCATCCAAACTTTCAGTTAAGTTAAAGTGGAGATAATCTTGGGGTGGAAACATTAAATAAAGCTATCACAACATTTAAGATTGGTGAAATTCGTTTATAAGTAGCTTCATTGACTCGATTTTCATATTGGTCTGCTGACATAATATGCCTCTTATAATTTAATGTGATGTGTGTGCAAATAGTCCGATTGCCTTTAATTAGTCAAAATTGCTTTTTTATTTAATGTCTCCCTCACACGAATTTCACATGAAATAATTATTTGATTAAGCAATATTGATTACCTACATGTGCCGGAAGTTGCAAGTAAAATCAGCCTTTTAATTATATCGTGATATTCCTATTTTAAAACTATACTATTGTACGATTAAGAATGATATTTACTGTAAATATGTCACTGCAAAAAAAGGTCTTACAGGAAGTTGTAGATTTTGCCTGACGATAAATTACATTGCACAGGATCTTCCACAACCAACGGAAATCCAAACTGTTGTGTCCAGTAGTTTGTTTGGAGATATCGTGGCTGTGTTGGAGTTTCTACAGGCATTCGGTTCAATCTACCATGTCAGCGATGTGTTTCCCGATGGAATTTCTTTTAGTGAGTATTTATTTAGATTGTGAAGAATTTTAGGTATTCCACCTAATATTTGGTGGGTGGGATGAGGCGGATGGGATGGGATGGGATGGGATGGGATGCAGCAGATGGAATGGGAATGATGAGTGGAATGAGATGTAGCAGGCTTTTCACGGGTCCGATCGGCCCAAGCCCCGTAAACAACCCCGTCTCTGGTGTCCACTGGGCTTTTTTTCCGGCCCCCGTCAAATTTTGTGTTTGGAGTTTACGTGTTCGTTTGCAGGCATGTTGGAGCAGGGACTCGCAGACAGGGATCCGCAGGGCTTTTTTGGTGACCTGCTGCAGTTCCTGCTCAGTGCAATCTTCATCGAACAGGAGGAGGAGTGGCAGAGTGCAGGTGCCGAAAAGTCGTCGCAGGCAGGTAAGCCATTCTCGATATGCTAACGAAGCACCGAACAGGGCTAATAAATAAATAATAACAAATAATCAATAAGTGTAATACTGTGTCGGCTAATGTTTCACAATCAGAACGTTTCATTGAAAAGTTTGAGGTTTGAGTCCTGCCTCGGTCATTGCTGTCATGTTCTTAATGAGCTAGGCACATGTTTTCCTCCATCTTACGGGATGTGCTAGGGACTGACCGATTTGCATTGCTCCATTTTACTGATATTTTATTTGTTTTTTTTGTCGTTTACTGCAGTGGACATGTCTGAATCCTACGGCAATGGTGATGTAGAGGCAGCCATCAATGAAGCAACCATGGCTGCAGCGTGGTCCCGTCAGTTCCACGGTAAGCGGCGTGCAAGTGCTCCCCTACAATTATATCAGAAATAATCTACTCCTCTAATCTCCCAGTAATCTTTATTAATCTCCTTCAGAAGGCATTGGTTGGCAGTTTTTTGACATATAATACCATTCTCTCATTTTATAATTCAGAATAGTATAACTCAATAAATAAACTAGTTAATTAAATGCATATTTTAAAACGTTTTATCATAGCATTTTTTATTTTAGCGATTGATGCAATCAGCGTAATTGTGTTTGCGTGGTATCATTCTGTTGTGAATTCGTGCAGGAGCGAAGCTTGGCAGTCTAACGATGGACACCTACACGGTGACAGAGGTGCTACGTCTACATCTAATGGCGGCTGGTGCTCGCCAGACACAGAGCATCACCAGGTAAACTGTGTTCACACTGTTCGTTTGACACCATGTTTCGTGGAATATACCATGGAATATTAATCAGCAGTTTCGTATTGCTAATGAAAGCAATCTGGGGCAACCTGTACGGGTTTTTTTGTGGAATACCAGCAGCAGCAGCATTTGGTTGATGGGCATAATGTAAGCTTTATGGTTGGTTCTGTTGCGGAATAGCAGCAGCATGATGCTAATGAGCACACTAGGTCATTAGCTGTAATCTGTACGGTTTTCATCGCCGAAGAACAGCGCAGCATCATTTTGTTAGTGAGCACAGTGTAACCTCATCTTTTCATTTTGGAATATCAACAGCGTAATTTTGCTAATGTGGGTAGTATGTTTTACACTGTGTGCATCGTGAATGTTTTTACTATATTGTTCGTGGTTTGGTATGCAGGGCACGAAATTGAGATTTTTTTGCACCGGCCCAGAGGGCTGGTAACAGCAATTTTTTACCAACCCTCACCATAATTTACCAGCCCTCACAAATTTTGTTTGTAAAATCAATGTCATGTTTCACGCTTGCATTCTCGATTTAAAATGTGTAAAATGTTCATAAATTATGGCATGATATCATGATATCATGATATCATTCAAGTAAAATAGTAAATATGCTATTTGCTCATTAATGCTATAAATAAAAATGTAGGTACTCGCTAACATGGCTGATACCACTGGCTCGGAGGGCCGGTGTTTTGCCAATGTTACTGGCCCACCAAATAATTTGCCGGCATATGCCGGTGGGCCGGTGTTAATTTCACGCCCTGGGTATGACAAGTAATGCTGGGTGTGCTAAGGGTTGACTGACGAGTGTTGTACACAATATGTATTTATCTAGCTATGCTGCGATGGTATCTAACATAGTTATGGTCAGAGCTAATATTACCACATCTCAAGGCTAAATGATTTTGTTTGACCAGGTACCAGTTTCAGCAGAGGTGCGGTTACTGCCCCAAAGATGACCCTGGGCTGGAATTTAAGATGGCTGAACCGGGCATAATGGAGGCATTAAGTACCGGGAGTGTTTTTGACCTGTCAGCTTGTAAGTACTATTCTTTTTGGTCACATCATGTAATGCTAGTCTTTGATTCTCTACCTTTATAGTAACATCTGGTTAATAAGAGAAAGCTTATAGCTGACTGTATAACCCTAAATTAGTTGCATAAGAATTCCTGCTAAATAATCCTGCACAGAAAAGGGTTCACATTGTTTCAACTGTGTAACTGCTGCTTACATGTTTACACATTGTTGCAACTGTTTATATGCTATTTCAGTTTTATATATGTTGTTTCATCTGTTGTTTTAGCAATTTATCTGTCGTCTTAGCTGCTTTAATGTTCTCTCACCCTTTTACATATTGTCTCACCTGTTTACATGTTGTTTCCGCCGTACATGTGTACATGTTGGTTCATTTATGTACATGTTATCTCAGCTGTTTATGTTGTGTTTCAGCTGATCGACTGAAGATTCTTCATGTGCTCATCGGTCAGTTGCTCACCTACACGGCCATTAGGGATGTGATAGAGGACAACATGGAGAAGCTGAGGCAGTTAAAGTACGAGCTGAGACACCTACAATGGGCTGAGCAACGTAAGGAGAAGGAAGAACAGCAAGCCAGGTATGGTAGTGATGTATCAGAAGGATAGCTAGTACATACTTTTATGCTGTGTATGGATGTTAGGGTTGTGACTAAATGAGTGATGAATTCACCACTGATTAATAGTAGACAAAATTTGAGGGTAAATTGAGTAAGGATTTCTACGTGTGTAAATTATATAGAAATTAAAACACGAGTTCCCTTGCCGGATAGAGACTGTCCTATACTAGTTTATATATTCCAAATGAAATAATTTCAGATTTCACAAGAAAAGGGAAGAAAAAAGGAAAGAGAGAGAAAAGCTGGAAGAGCTTAGGGCCAAGAAGCTGAAGACAAGAGAAGATCAGCTTAAATCTGAGGAGACTGTGTAGGTCTCATTTTGCAGCTCTTGTTTATGAATCACATTCGTCATTATAATCTACAATACTTGGAATTTCTCAACTGAATTTTTGCCACTCGTCTCCAGTTTCCCCGAAAAGAAATCGTAACGAGAATTTACCTATTGAATTCACAGATATGTTAACACATTATCTCTACCCCACTTAGCCTCAGCAGTGTGGGATCAAGCGAGTTCAAAAACCACATGTTATTTTCTATATCTGTATTCTCGATTCGCCAACGTGTGTGTTTGTGGGTTTAGGAGTGTGGGGTCAAGTGAGGTCAACAGCGAGATCGAGCTGTCGGACGACGACGAAGACGACAATGGCGGCGATCGACCGTCCACTCGCCGTTCAGAGAAACAAGAGGAGGCGTTGATAGAAAAGCTAGTGCAGCGATCTGCTTACAATAACGAGGTATGCTGATGTGTCTCCCTACTGGCATGGATGCGTGCATGCTTTCCTGTATGTAAATGCTTGCATGCCGATGCTACTGTTCCCGCCACCACCACTGCCACCTCCAGGACCACTACGACCGCCATTGTCTCTAGCACTTACCAACCACAACCACCACCTCCTCTACCACTACCACCACCCTACCAATGCCGCCACCCCTGCCGCCACCACCCCACCGATGCCGCTACCACCCCACCAATGCCGCCACCCCTGCCACCACCACTACCACCACCCCACCAATACCACGACCACGACCACCACCACCACCACCAACGACAACACCACCACCACCACCAACGACAACACCACCACTAGCACCATTGCCACTACTACTACCACCACTAGCACCACCACGACCACCAGCACCGCCACCACCGCCTCCTCCGCCGCCGCCAACACCAACATCAACACCAACACCACGACCATCGGCACCGCCACCA